TTTTTTTTTTGGTCTTTTTGAGACAGGGTCTCACTATGCAGTTCAGGCTGACCTTGAGCTCACTTTGTAGCCCAGGCTGGCTTCGAACTCACAGCGATCCTCCTGCCTCAGCCTTTTGAGTGCTGGGATTATAGGTGTGTGCCACCATGCCTGGCTACATGATGGTTTCTAGTTCCATTATCTTTCCTGTGAATGATATAGCTTCATTCTTTTTTTTTTTTTCTGGTAGTGGGAATCGAATTCAGAACCTTGCATTTGCCAGGCAAGCGCTGTGCCACTGAGCTAAATCCCCAGCACCTAGCTTCATTTTTCTTTTGAGTAATATATGTATATATCACTATCCCTATCCCTACCGCTACCCCTACCCCATCTCTATCTCTATCTCTTTCTTTACCTCTATATCTATATAAAATTTTCTTTATGCATTCATCTACTGATGGTCATTTGGCTGTGTCTGTAGCTTAGAATCATGCTGCTATAAACATGAGATGAGTATGCATGCATGCAGTCTTTAAATGTTTTGGGAATATGCCCAGGAGTGGATCAAATATTTCTATTATTTTGAGGAATCTCCATGCTGACTTCCATAGTGGTGGTATTAGTAGCTGTACTGGTTTACACTTCCACAAATACTGTAGGAGAGTTCCTTTCATCCCATTTCATTGCCAGGGTTCACTGCTTCTTGTATTCTTGATGTAGCCTTGACTGGGGTGAGATGAAATCTCAAAGTAGTTCTGATTTGCATTTCTCTGATGGCTAGTACTTCCGAGAAGTGTTTATTCAGTCCATTTGCCCACATTTTTATTGAGTTCTTTTATTTAGGATGTTAATTTTTTGAGTTCTTCATATGTTCTATTTTTTTTTGTTTTGTTTTTTTTTTGTTTTTTTTTTTATATGTTCTAGATATTAATCCTCTCTCAGAAGCATAGCTAGCAGTAGGTTGTCTCTTCATTCTGTTGTTTCCTTTGCTGTGCAGAAGCTTTTAATTGGGGGCAGTCCCCTGTGTCAATTCTTGCTATTATTTCCTGTGCCACTGGCTTCCTAATCTGGGAGATTTTGCCTGGGCCTATGACTTGAAGAGTTTCTCCTTTGCTGTCTTCTAGCACTTTCATTGTTTTTGTTTTTATATATAGGGCTTTGATTCATTTGGTTTACTTTTAATACAAGGTGAGGGGTAAGGATCTAAGCACTGTTTATCAAAAAGGTGGTCTTTTTTCAGCATATGTTGTTGGTATCTTGTCAAAAATCAGACGGCTGTCACTCCATGGGCTTTACTTTTATTCCATGGGTCTTCATGTAAGTTTTTCTTTTGCCAGTAGTACATTGGTTTCTAATAATCTAAAGATAGACAAGTCCAGACATCTATGAACAGTAGCATAAATATAAAACCAGTGGTATGGTGAGATAATGGAATACTATAATGGTAATAGTTCCCTGTAGCTATGCTTAACAATATGGGTGAACTTTCTACAACTGATGTTGAGTGAAAGAAGCAAGACCCAAAAGAATACTTTTCCATAAAGTACAAAAACCAGGCAAAATTAATTTATGCTATTAGGAAGTAAACAGCAGTTACCCTTGTAGGATAGTGGTTAAGAAAAAGCACATAGGAGGTCACACACTTTTCATCTGAGGGCTGGTTTTGCACTAATACTAAGTTCTCTTAGGAAATACTGTGGTGCCTCGATTCATGAACTTGATTCTCCTTGTGATTCTGGTCACAAACTTAGTTGGATGAGAACCAAATCAAATTCAATGGTTGGGTTCCATGTTGACCTTATGGAGACATTTGATTCAGTTCTCATTCAGTTTGGTTTGCAACCCGGATCATGGAGAGAATTGAGTTCATCGGCCGAGGCAACACTTGCGTGTTCTTCTCTGTACACACTTCATACCTCAGTAAAACATTCAGTAAGTGCCATGATAAACTAGAAGAGTGTGTAGCAGAACATGAGGGGT